CTGGCAGATCTGATTCTGAGCTGTGGGTTCTCTGGTCCCAAGACACCCAGCTGCCTTTCATGGTGACCGGCTGCACTGCCCATCACCCATTCTGCTCAGCGAGTTCTCCATTTGACCAGCCTGCCTTAAGCCCTGTGGCCACGGCTGATCCCTTTCTCCTGGCCCCTCTGAGCTCACTCACATGGTCCATTTTTGCTGACCCTGTGCCCCCATGGCATGCAGGGGGTCCCAGATCACCCCATGTCCCACAGGAGTGAGGACGGCTCAGGAGCAGTGCTGCCATGCTGTCCCCTGCTAGCTCACGGCCATCCATGCAGCCGACTCCTGGGCTCTGATGAGGCTTGCCCAGCTCCCCCAACCCTCTGTGCTTTGTGCGCCTCCCTGGGTGGCTCTAGCACCACTACCCTCTGGGCTTCAGCCCCGTGGGAGGAAGGCAGGACTCATGGGTCACAGTCCCCCTTTCTATTTCACTCCTCACTGGACCACAGAGTTGGGCCTTCTCTCCTCTCGGGGTTTGAGGACTTCCATTAGGATATGGATCCTGAAATCTCTCCAGACTTGACTTACAGTAAATTAAATATGCTTCTATAGACCAAACTTTCTTTTTCCATTCATTCATTGGCAGAGATTTAGGTTGTCTCCATATCTTGACTGTTGCAAATAAGGCAACGAACATGGGACTGACGCTATCTCTCAAGATCCTCATTTTCTCTGCATGTACACCCAGTGGTGGGCTCTTACCCAGCATTAAAAAGAAGGAGATCCTGCCGTTGGCAACAACATGGAAGAACCAGGAGGACGCTGTCCTAAGTGAAACAAGCCAGGAACAGAAAGACAAACCCCCCACGACTTCACGTACATGTGAAATCTAAAAAAGTCAAACTCATAGAAACAGAGAATAGAACGGTGGTTGCCAGGGCTGCAAGGAGGGGAAATGGGGAGATGTTGGTCAAAGGGTACAAAGTTTCGCTTACTGAAGATGAAGAAGTTCTGGAGACTCAGTGCACAGCATAGTGACTGTAGTTAATAATACTGTATTATATACTTGGGATTTTACCAAGAGGGTACATCTTACATGCTCTCACCATAAGAAAAGAAAAGAAAAAATAGTTAACTGTAAGCTAAGGAATGTGTTAGTTTGATTGTTGTGATCATTTCAGGGTGTGTGTGTGTGTATAAACATGAAGTTGTATACCTTAAAGATACACAATTTTGTTTGTCAATTACACCTCAATAAAGCCAACCCTGGCTCTTGATATGTTATTGGTATCTTAACAAATTTAAGGAAAAATTTCTTTGGAGACTAATCTTATTAGGAACTCAGCAATCCTATTTTGGTAGTTAAATTGTGGATATTGATCCCTTTTTCTCCATTTTTCTGTTATAATAATAGAACTTCCTTCCCATCACCAGTTTGGATATAGACACTATAGCTGGCTAAATTGGGAGAAATCATGTACATGGAAATATGAAAAAGAAAAGCAAACATTATAATTTCTGTCACAAACCTCCTAGAGGTAGGAAAGGGGCAAATCTGAGAAATAGAATCCTGAGGCTATTTGTTCAGATGCACGAGGGTGAAAGGTGAGTGAAAAATGACTGACAGTTTCTGATTTAGGTGAGTAGGCAGATACCACAAATCAGGGTAGGAATAGAAGAGGTTTGGAGAAAAATACTGGTCTACACTGGGGCATGTAAGTGTCACGGTGCTTATGGTACATCCAGGTGGGGTGGAGGGCTTGGGCAGGCCTGGAGCCATGAACTCTTTTAAATAAGACGGGCTGGAGATGAAAATTTCGGGCCCAGTACCATGCAGGTGGCAAAGGAGACCTGGGAGTGCGGAATTAGAGATTCCCCTGGGAATTGGCTGCCGATTACAACCTAGGAAATGCCTAGGCTTTGGAGATGCTTGGAGCCTACACAAACGCCTCCCAAATGGCTTTGCTCTGGCAGTAAGAAGGTGGTTTCATAGTTTGCAAATTAATCCCAGCTTTCCTTGTACCCTCAACACACAGAGCCATGGATATTCAGCATGTCCCCATTGCTTCTGAACTGCACAAATCCCTACGTTCAAGGTACTGCACAGCATGATCTTAATGTGTTTTTGTGATCACATCTCTTCCTTCTTCCCGATACAGACTCTGTGCTCCATCAAAGAATAGGGCTCTCCTATCTGGAAGAACCCCACATCCATGCCTTTGCTTTTGATATTTCTTGCTTCTGGAATGCCTTCCTCCCCAGGCCTTTTCTCATTTAGAGACCCTGTTCAGATGCTATTTCTGTGAATATTTCCCTGACCATTAAACTTTTGCCAACATTTGTAAAGAACAAAATATGTGCAAAGCACTAGGCTAAGCACTGAGAAGGACACTGACAGGAATAAGTCTCAGTTTCCACCCTATCATAGACCAAAACTCTATTATGAAGGAATCAGTGCTTTTCAAAATGTGGCTCACCCACTCCCTCCATAAAAAGGTTCAGATTCCGAGGCCACACCCCAAACCCAATGCTTGAGAATCCCCAGTTTGGAGCTCAGAAATGTGCATTTTTGACAAGTTTCTCAGTGATCTTTATGCCGTGAGGAGAATATTTTTGTTCCTTCCTGACATGGTAGTTGTTAAGATACAGTTAAGACAACGTGAGATGCTGTTTTGACAGCAGCAGGGCACCATTTCAAAGGCCTGTGGTGGGCGTCTCTTTACCAAAGTGTGTCATTCATTTCTGTCCTGTTCAAAAATCCTATACTTTGTGTATTAAGCTCATTCCTGTCCCACCCTAGAAGAGGCACACCTGATTTTTAAGCGATTCCTACTGACTGTGCGACAGAGAGGCACATGCAAGCTTCAGGTATTACTCATATCGTTACTGTAAACTCCACCCAGAGTCTGGAATCTGGTGTTACTCCAGTTCCTTACATCACCACCAACTTTGATTAGGAGCCAGAGAAAGTAGGAAGCATCTGGAGGTCAAAATCAGAGCTGGCCCCGGGCAAGGTAGTGAAGGGAGTGAGTTCTGTCTGTGGTGTCTCCCGCCTCTCCTTTTCCTGCTTTTCTCTGTTCCTCACCCCCACGTCGGGGGCCTTCTTTAGCCAAGACACCTTCCCTGGTCAGCGAAAGAACTGATGGATGTTGATGACTTAACAGTTTACCTTCTCAGATTTTTGTTAAAAAGACATAGAAGATGAGGCAGTGCTAACTGAAAGAGTGAATAACCAGTGGTGGAACCGTGGGCCACATGACAAGCAAGCAAGTGATGTTTTTAGGTAAAGGAATCGTTCATGTCCCCTACCATGTTCCACACAGGTGGCTCCCCATGACTGCGGATTTTCCTAAGGACAACCATGGCGACTAGGAGAATTGACTAATCACTCTGGGTACCCAGAGGACACCATCCGGTGGCCAAACTACCAGAACTCATTACTACCCAGAAAAGAGTAAGACCATAATATAGTTACCATGAGTGGATCTCAGGCTGTGGCTAATTTGGGCTTGGGAAACTTTCTGAGCTGGCCTTGCTCCAAGGCCACAGAGCACTGCAGTGAATCCTCCAGGACTCGGATGGCGTCCAGAATCCTCTCCAGTATGGGCCAATCGCCTGTTTCTAGGCACAGCCGCCTCCACCCATATCCTGATGAGACACAGTGGAGGAAAGGTCATGTGGAAAAGGGAAGTAGGTTCACACAACAGAAAGAATCCTGAGCTGATGTTCAGGGAAACCTGGGGTCCAGACCCACGGCTGCCATGAATAAATGGGGGCAACACAAGGGGTGGTTTACCCAGCCAGAGGCTCCATTTCCTTAGATTAAATGCCTTGAATTTAAGACTTATTCCAGTTCTGAGGATTAATTATCCTATGTACCAAAACAAACAATAGAACTTTACAGATTCATGATGATGAGGAGATATGGATTGTTATGGGACCAGAAAGTCAGGATTTATGCAAGATTTTGTGCTTTTTCGGCTCAAAGTGTAGTCCCTGAAACCGGTGGCATTGGCCTCCTCAGAATTGGTACAGATTCCCAGGCCCCAACTACTGAATCAAGAGTCCACGTTTCAACAAGATGCCGAAGTGGTTCAATCGCACATCACAGTTTGAGAAGGCCCCGTTTAATGTGTATAGCACCTATCTGAGCATCACAGTGCGTTAAAGCTTGTATTTGCTCCTCATGACCCCAGAATAAGCCCAAACTCCAAAATGAAGTTTGAAGTCCTTTGCAGTCTGGTCTCTGCCTCCCTCTCCATCTTTGTCTCCTAGGAGTTCTCCCTTTGATCTCTCGTGATCTCTCTACTGCAGCCATGAGGGCTGCTTTTGCTGCATTGAGCAGGCCACATAAACATCAGATGTGAAATTTCCTTGGCCTGGAATATTCTCCACAAAATCATCCCCTTTTGTTGACTCCTCTGTTATTCCTGCAACAAATATTTAAGGAGAATTTCCTGTGCCAGGCACTCTTCTGGGAATGCATCTTGGAGCTGACCTCCCAAGCCTTACAAATTTCAGCTTCAAGTTATCTCTCCATGGGTGGTTTCACTGACCCTAGAGAAGTTTAAATTCCTGTGCTCTGTACTCAAAGCCACCTGCACACCTCCTTTTGCAACACATTGTGTTTTACTGTAGTTCTGGTTTAACATCTTTTCTTCATGTTGCACTGAAACCCCATGAGGACAGCTCCGTATCCTGCAATACCCCACTTACCAGCTGGCACAAAGAGGTGCCTCGTGCATATTTATTTATAGGTGAAAGGATTTCCAAGGCAGGAGGGCCATGGTCAAGATACAAAGAAAGAATCGTCGAAGTGACAATGGAATTCTGTGGCTCTCATCACAGACACAAGAGAACAGCTTTTATACGTGACTCTTATTTATTTGATCTAAACTTCCAAAGAGATTATCTATGCTCACATTGTGTGCCCTTTGGGTAAAGAAGGTCTGAATTGGCATTCACAGAAGAATTCCTCTCTGCTCAGGTCTGACTGCGATCCAGGCCTCCCTCTCCCTTCCAATGAGAAAACTTCTGAGACTGTGGGGTGGAGTCGCGAGGGGCATCCAGCTGGGGTCAGGACCACATGTTCCTGTCCGTGGGCCCTGGAGGGAGGTGCTGCTGCTTGCTTCTCAAGGCCAGGTGGTGGCAACCAGCCTCAGATGTATGTGAGACGAGCTAGTCCCTGCAGAAGAGCAGAAGGCTAGGGCAGGAGCAAATGTGCAAAGACAGAAGTTCAGGGATTTGGAAAATCAGATTTTACTTAGGGACAGTGGAACATTAAGGGTTATTTTTAAATTGATGAATGGGGACAGTGAATAAATGAGAGGATGCTCCTTTTCTCTCTCCCTTTACAGGTGACTACAGGGCAAGGAGCCATAGAAACTGAAGGAAATTTCTACCGGACATCAGAGACCATAGGAGCTGACCTGTAGAGCCCCTTGACTTTACTGGTTAGGTTCAAAAGCTAAACACCAAATACTAGGGCTAGTGCTTCTTTCATTGTCCTCTTACCCTCCTCTCTTCTTTCTTCATCAGTCCTGAGGCAAGCAGGCCCAAGCTGCTGATCCCAAGTTGACCCAGGAGTACACTAAGGCTTGGACAGCTTAGTTGATCTACCCAAGAGCACAGGAACACTCCTGACTTCCAGCCCAGCGTGGTTTCCATTAGACACTCATGCTGTGGCATGAGAACCACAATGAGGTCAGGCAGATAGCTCTGCAACCTGGAACTCTGAGTGAAATTGGTTATGACTGCAGCTGACATACACGGCCCCATACAGCCCAGCAAGGAAGGGGGCAGAGGTCACACCAAGTCAGGACAGAGGCTGTGCCTCTGCTGTGTTCCGGAAACCTTCAGATAAATTTCTTCTCCAGTAACAACTCCCTTATGTAAACTAACCAAAGGAAAGCAAACCCAAGTTTCTGCATATTTTAATTGCTTTGTATGATTTTTGCTGGTCTTAGAGTGCTTGTGAGTCAGAAGCAATTTCAGGAAATGCTGCCCATGTCACCAGCTGGAATCAAGGTTCCTGTTCTGCAAGAGACTTCAGACGCAGGCACATGTTTGAGCATGCATGGAGACACACACACACACACACACACACACACAAACTCTCACACATGCCTACACTCACATTCATAAACTGGTGCATTCACATACACTCACTGGCATCCACTCACACATAAACTCATATACACATACATTCCCACATGCAGTGGCACACATACTCACACATACCTACACCATATCGACAAATTCACATACATACACATACTCACATACTTACACAAACACACATGCTCACATATACTCTAACATAATACACACAAACCCACATATATCCACTCATACTGCCTCATATACACACATATATTCACATGCATACTCATGCACTCACACATACACACCCACACACGTGCACATGCATGCACGTGCAAACACACAGAGCCAAGACTTAGCTGTGGCCAAGTCTTCCTGACACTAAATATAAGCATGATGTGCTCGGTGCAAAAGGCACTTGTTGCATGAGAATTAAAACTGGATCAAGTCCACTGATTATTTAGCTATTTCCAAATATCTGCATGTTTTGCTTTGTGGACATCTGAATAGTTGGCTGGGGCAAGCTTTTCTCTGTACCTCCTTCCCTCTGGGGATGTGTGAATCAGTTGTTCCTAACCATCCCTTCCCACCAAGGCAGAGCATGGGAAGTGAGGTCAGTTAACTGTCTCCGTTGCAAAAGGTACACATGAAATTGCCAATTCGAAGGACAGGGGACTGAAGAGACTTTGCAAAGTGACAGCTGCGGCCCGCTGCCTCAGAAGGGGCTATCCTTCCAGAGGAAGAGAGGCCGACAGCCCTCCCTACTCCCTTCCCAGCTTCTCATAAGTCCTCAACAAAGGTCCGGAAGCCTTCACATGTTCTAACCTTTCCACAGGGGTACATCCCCGGTCACACCACACTTCCACCGGGACTTTGAATCTACAAATCCAGGAGTCTAGGATACAACGATGGCTCTCTGTCTATGGGAAAAAAATTCTGTCTGTAAAATGTGATACAACATACTATACGAAGGGTATACAAAAGCAATATTTACTCTCATCTAGTTGTATTTGTCCAGTGTTTTCTATTTTGTTGTGTCTATTTCCGTTTGGCATCTATCTGCCTCAGTTTCGTCTCCCTCAGATTGTAAACACATAGAAGAGGAAAACTTTCTCCAGGCAATGGTGAGTATGAGAGTCCCAGAAATTAAGCCCTCAATTAGGGCTTTGGGTGATGATGGTAATGATGGAAGATTCTAAGTAAATTATTGTAACAATGAACCCTTAAGGTCTCTAAAGTTGGTTTTGTTTCAGAGGAGGGCATCATTCATTTGCTTGCCTCTCAATGCCGTTCAAATGTCAGTAACAAGGCAGCATGTTAGTGCCACCCCTAATCCCTGTGGACAGCTTGAGAATTTGTTTCTTACGGTAAGAAGGCTCACTGACAGAGTGGGGAGAAAAATGAAACCCAGTTCTGTTAAAAGGTCTCGGTCTTCTGAGCAGGTACTCAGGATCAGACACAGATGAAGAATTCTCTGCTATTTGGGGACAACAGGCATCTCCACCGCAGGGGTATGGGAGTGAATTCCTGGAGCATGGTTCCATTTGATATTCATGCACTGCTGAGTACACTGCCAGGCACAGGGTAGGCCATCAATAATGCTTGTGGAATGAATGAATGAATGAATGAATGAATGAATGAAGTCCTCTATCCTCTGTCCTGTGGGCATATTCCTGAGACATTTCCATGTGCCTCATCCGTGTGAGGGTTCAATCCTCATGGAACTCATCACTGGCCACATCTTCCCAGCAATGAGTTCTATGAGGATTGCACCCTCACGTTCGCTGTGATCTCCCTGTAATGCTGTCTTGAGAGCATGTGATGGAAATCCCTTCAAAAAAGAAAGGACTTTCCTTTCTTACCCCCAAACACCGTTCCCCTGAATACAGCTTTCTATTACAGAGGATTCCAGGCTTGCTTCTCATCCCTCTGCAGGGGTCGCTGGCCTCTCTATGCACTCCCCCATCTAGACTGTGAGCTCCTTAAGACAGAAAACAAACAGCTTATTTACCCTCACCTCCAGAGCTCAGCACATTGAGGGCATCCAATACACAACAACTGACGACGAGCTTTTTCCAGGGAAAATGGAATGTGAGTGCTAGGAGGACTACAACTAGGTTGCTCAGTCTATCTAATGACATCCATTGCAAAACCTCAGGGTTCCTTGGGAAGAAGCTGCATTTCCTGGAGATAGGCAATGTGGAAAGATTGCCACAGCTTCTGGCTGAGCAGGTATGTGGAAGATGGTTCTCGTTTGTTCAGCAGGGACAGTCCACAGGCGTAGCGATTGCCTGTGGATAGAGTCACACTACCTGAGTTATGCCCTGGCTTTCCCCTCATTAGTTTTATGACCTTAGAGAGGCCCTTTAATCTCGTGTTCCTTGATTTTCTTATCTGCAAATGAGGCAATAATCACAGAGAAGAATAAACAAGTTCATATAGGTAAAGGACTTAGATCATGGCCTGGCCCACACTAAGTTTGCAAGAAATATTCGCTAGTATGATTCTCTTTGTGCATGAAGGAAGTGGGGATCGCTTACCCTGGAAGGAGACTACTTTAGATCTGAAGGGCCATGGTTTCAGTTGAACTACTGAGCCTTGTCCATTTTCAGACTTCTGTCCATTCTCTAACAGGTCTCCCTGTCCCCAGCCTTGCTCCTTCCGACACCTGCTTCACCAAGTCTCCAGGATCACCTTTCCAGCATGCAGGTCTCCCATAGCACTGTCTTCTTGAAGGCCTCTGCTGCCTCTGTCCGCAGGACGCACTCTCGGCTCCCAGCTCGGTGCTCAGTGCCCTGCCGGGTGTGATCTTGACCATGGCTCCTGTTTCACCTCCTGCCACTTTCCACCTCTCCCTGCCAATGGGCTCCAGGAGCACGCGGAGTTTTGAGCTTCCTCCCACACATGATGGTCTTGCGCCTCCCAACGGCACTGCTCCTGCTGTCAGGAACGGCCCCTTCTCCACTGCAACCGCCTCCTCACCCTCACCCTCACCCTGCTGTGTGACCAGCAGGCTCCTGCTCTTCCTTCAGAGCACACTTGAGGAATGCGGAAGCTGTCTTAGATGCTGTTAGGGCTGAATCGTCTTCCCCAGAATTCGTAGATTTGATTCCTAACCCCCAGGACCCCAGAATGTGACTATACTTGGAGACAGGGCCTTTAAAGAGGAAATGAAGTTAAAATGTGGCCGTTGGTTTGGGCCCTGATCCATTCTGACTGGTGTGCTCATAAAAAGAGGAAACTTGGACACGTGAAGAGACACCGGGATACAGGCACAGAGGGGAAGACCACGTGCAGACACTGAAGGAGGTGGCCGTCTGTAAGCCAGAGGGCCTCAGAGGAAACCAGCCCTGCCAGCACCCTCATCTTTGACCTCCAGCCTCCAGAACTCTAAGGAAATCAATTTCTGTTGCTTAGGCCACCCAGTCTGCAGTATTTTGTTACGGTAGCAGACCAAATTAACACACATGCCCGTAGAATAGCCTTGATTTAGGTGCTCCCTATAAAACATAAGCTGCCTATGACATTGGCAGCTCCTATTAGGCGGGGCTTAGAGATGCTCTTTATTCTTCACGCTAAGTCCTGCACAACTGCTGGAAACGTGTGTTAATAAACATCACAGTCAAGAACTTCTCAGTGAGCATGTGAGCACATGGCTATCCTTGGTGTCTGGGGATACAGCCTACTCTCGAAAGACTAGTCTCGAAAGACTATTTTATTTTTTAAATGTACGTAAATATTTGATTCTACTCTATAGAATGTTTTGCTATAAAAATGCCTTGAATTTCAGGTTACTGGTCAAAATTATTTAACTTTTACGAGCCTGACCTTGGAGTGAAACTAGTTAAGGACATGTACTGTGGTATCTGATGGTTTTTCCTGCCTCCTATGTGTGGACATGCTTTTGAGAGTTCCTGGACAAGCAGTCGCAGTAGGCAGGAAATATGTGGGACATTCCAGGAGCTGTTTTATGGAGAACATAGAGCAGAGGGAGCTAAGGACACCCAGAGACCAAGACTGACAGCCCATGATGAGAACTCAGAGGTCCAAAAACTTCCTGCGGGCAGCAGATGCTGTGCTAGGGGATGCTGGCAAAAACAC